GCTGCCAGCCGCGCCACTGCTGAGGCGGCGCTGCGCGCGGGCAGTCTCGCCGAGGAGCGTCGCCTTCGCTGACGCTCTTAAAGCTGGTCCTTTTTGCCAGGAAGGAGGGGAGTCGGAGGCGGCGAGGGGAGAGAGAGAGAGAGAGCGAGCGAGCTGCAGGGGAAGGTAGCTGTGGCAAACTTTCTAGCTGCTTCTGCGTGCTGCTACCTCAGCGCTGGGAGTGTCCCTCCCTGGCCATAAGGAACTGCCAAGTCCAAATGTCAGAGCCCTGAGGCTCCGTAAAGACTTCCCAGCTGCCTTCCGAGGAGGAACTGCCTGCAGCACAAGTGTCTGCATATACAGCTGAGCAGGTAAGTTGGGGCCGGCACAGGTGGAACAAGAGTATCTGTGGCATACCACGGATCTGCACCTAGAGAAGCTGTTTCGCAAGGACCTCTGGACAGACCAGGCGAGAGCATCTGGTGCATGTGGTCTCCTCCATTCCTAGATTATGTATGTCTAACCTCAGAACTATTCGTAGTCCTCTTGTTGAAAAGACCCTTTTAATTACAGCAAGCACCTGCTGTTTTGTTTTGTCTTACAAACATGTAGTGCAGGCAACATACTTAGATTGCTACTGAAGTTGTGCGTTCTTAATGTGGGCACCTTGTGAGTACTCCTTGAAGCAGTGCCACATACATAGCTGAACAAGGCAGAACTTCTGGAAGCCTAACTTCAGCTCTGGCAGATAAATGGAAGTGGAGGGGGTGTGCGTGTGAGCAAGAGTGAATGATGCCAGAGAGGCCTGCAGATGCTACAAGGATCATAATGGTGTTGTGAAGGTGTGTTTCTGTAATGTTTTTACTGTTGTATGCTCACGTCTGCTCCGTTGAAGCCGTCCTTTTCAACTTCTTGAAGAGCGGCTAAATTAAACTTCTTGACCTGGTGGCTGGTAGTTCTCCTTTAATGTTGCATAGTTCCTGTCATAAATATAGCTTAAAATCCCTGTGAGAAGTAGTTAATATATAATCTTGCTAGATTAATAAAAGACTTAAATTGAACAGCAGCTAGTCCACATTCAGTTCTAATTCATTTTTAATCCTTTTCTTTGACTGTAAAGACATTACCATGGCAAATATCTAACTAGCCTCAAACCACTTAACAGCTATTAATTTATACACAGTTAATTAAGCAGGTGAATGGTTCCATAGAGGGGTTAACATAATAAGCTGAGCAGGTGCAAAATATTTTAAGAGACTGGGGAGCTCACAGGAGTACTGGCAATTTTCAATTGAAGTTGCATTTATTAATCAGTTTGCCCGAAAACAATTGCCTTTTATTTATTGGCTTTCATTGTTTTTTGGTCATAGCTTTTGTGTATCTGTCAGTGGGCTTTTTAAGATGCTATAGCTGTGGTTGGTTTCATTAACAAAAATGAACAACTTTATTTTTTAGTTTGTTAACTGTACATGAGTGTTCTAGGGCTTGATTTATTACAGAGGTTAGTGTGGTTGCTCCCACTCTTTCTTTGGGGTAGGAATTTCATGCTTTTCAGTAAGAATGCATAATCCAAGTCTGACTTCACTGAAGAACGTATTTGTGTCTCTCCTTCTGAAAAATACAGTTTAGGTGTACTGTGTATGATTTGTGCAGCCACCAGTGCTATTTGGAAAAATCAAAATGGAGGGGGGGAAACTTGGATGGAAATTGTAAGGTGATGACAATAATATGTAGATAAAAGCACTTCATTAATTCACTGCAAGGACAGTGCACAAATGAACCTATTCAATAGAGAAATCGGAACTTGAAGAGGACAAAAATGACTCTTTTTCTACTCATGTTGTTAATCTGAATATTGGTGACTTTACCCCTAAACTCTAACTTCTGAAAAACCATGAAAAATTATTTTCATAAACTGTTTCCCTTCTGAATTAAAAAGCCACTGTTATAAGTAGACATCAGGAATATATCATGCATGCAGTATTGTGAAAGACTTCATTTCCTTATCAACTTTATTTAAAAGAAAAAAAGCCCCACCTCCCTGTAGTTGGAGAGCTGGATGAAAGTTTTCATCTTATCTGCTTTTTGAATGCCAAAATAGTTAATCTGTTTTTACAGTGCATTAGTGTATGTAGCAAAAGTACAAAAACTGGAAAGAAGAAAATGAATTTTTAAGACTAATAGCATGAAAAGAATAATTATTGAAACAAATGAGACTTTAAATTTGAGTAGCATGTTCTCTAGTCCTTAGAAACAAACTTTCAGGAAAAATGTCTCCTTACAGTTAATTTTCCTAGTATAGGAACTGACTCTGAAGGTGCAGATATTTGGAACAAAATTATCTGCATCTTCTGTTTTGGTTTTTCTAATTTTGATGGGCTATTCAACTGTAAGGTGCTGCAATAATATTTGTGGGGAGTGGACAATATAGATGCTGTGGCACTTCATTTACCATGGGTATGGTATTATAGTAGCCCGAACAGATGCTGGGAAGATTAATATAACACTAGCTCTACTGTCTTCAGAGATCTTTGTCTGCTGGGAGAATTATTTGTACCATGGGCACCACTGTCCCAGAAGATGCTGCGAGATGCTAAATCTCAGGCATCCAGGCACCACTGTCCCAGCAGATGCTGAAGACCTTAAGAGCTGCTGATGGGAAGGTTTTGTATAACACAGATGGCTCTGTCTTGTCTGTTTTGCACCTGTTTGAAATATATTTCTTAACTCTATTGAACCCTATTGTTTTAGTAAGGCTGTGGAACTTTAATAAGCACTGTCTCCTGTACCAGGACACTTGCTTATGTTATTGCTACGTCTGTTTCCCAAATTTGCTGTTGTGTAGGTATGTGTCATACAGAAAATGCAGCAACTCCTATCAATATAGTTGGTTGAAAAAGTCTATATATAGTTACTGATTTGAATTTTAATAGTACTAAACCTTACACTGAAATTAAATTGGCTTCAGGGAAATTTATTACTTGCCCTCTGACTAACACACACATAGTATCTGTAACAGCAGGGGTGCTGTGCCTTGAGGTGATGCTTGTGGTTACTGAGCAAGTGAAACTCCCTGTGTACTCTGTGTTAAGTCCTTCCAGAAGCATGCAGTCTTAAGTGCAGGTCCTTGTTATGTGCAGTCTGATGGCATAAAATATGAAAGTCTAGTCTGTTGTATGGATGAGGAAATTAAAATAGCTTGTCAGAGGCCTAAAGCAGTTGAGTTAAACACTGCAAATAGAATGGTTCTTCATAAAACATTGTTTATGTCTGAACTCTCTAAGAAGAAAGTCTCTGATATGACTACTCGGGGGAAAATTTTATAACTACATTCATGGGAAACTCTTATCAAGACTCTATTACAGTAAGGAAGTGTTTACTCAGTGTTTAACTCCTTGAGATAAGACACCCTTTCCCAGTTGCGTGAATCTAGAAAAGGAGAATGTCCCTGTCACTTCCAGGCATCTGAACTGAACAAAAAAGCCAATTTCTTGCTTTCACTCATCTTCCTCTCAGTTTATATAGGTTAACTTGCCACAGCCATGTTGAAGTTTTGAGGGCATCCCACTAAAATTATTTATAAACTTAGTAAACAAAAGCTAACTCACTGCTATCAGCGGATCTGTGAGACTTTCAAAGCATGCATTTTGTTGCTATGGAAAGCAATGTGTTCCTGCTGCTGGCTTTTTAGAGAGCTTTTTTGCTGCTCCCTTGTGTAGTCTTCTGTTTCCTTCCTTTCCATATAGTCACATTTCCTTAAGATGGATTTTGCTGTAATCTTGGGCGAAGCAACAAGCTTCCACTAAGTTTTGCAATGTTTCTATGTGTATGTGGTTACTGATGGAAAGTGGACTAGTGTTCTGCCTTCTTTCTTGAGTAAAGGTGCTGAGCATCTTGGGTGCAGCGCTGAACATTTTGGAAAGTTGCATCAGCTTAGCCAAGTGACTTAGGCTGAACTGATACGGAGCACTTGCAGATGCTTTTGCTTAAGAATGGTTCTGAGTTTACTGCTATATCAAATATAATCCTGAATTATTCAAAGTGTCCAGAGTTGAATTCAGTTTATCTTAGATATGGTTTAAGCATAACATGACTGAAACTGAATAGAGAAGTTTGGAGTACAGATCATTGCTAAATGTGTACCTTTTGTTATGGTTACGTTGCTCTGATTGAAAGATTGACATCATGAAACAAATCAAACAGAAGTGAACAAGACAAAATCATGACAGGAAAAAAAAAAATCCTTTTTAAAAAGCCATTCATTATAATCCTCCCATCTGAGAATTTACAAACTGCCTAAAGCTGTCTGCTAAATAATTACTGTTTTTAGAACCTTCCCAAGTGGCTGATAATATTTTCAGTGAAATACTAAATTTCAGGGCCTGTTTTACCTGTTTTGTCATAAACTGACTTCTGTTACTTAAGTTATATAACTTTTACTCTTTTGGGAGAGAAGACTTTTTTGCCAGGTGTCATTTCTTGATATCTTAGGCCCAGGTGGATCTTGCTACTCTTAAACACAGATGTTCCAACAATTAAGTTTTAAATATAGCAATATCCTAGTGTGTTTATCCAGTTTTCATATTTATGCAAGACCCAATGGCAAAGCCTCGCTGTGAACTACTGAAACTTAGCAGAATTTGCATTTGCAGAACATAACTTCAGGAAGGTTTTTGTACTCAGTCAGACCTCTGGCATTCATGCCCCTAATGCTAGGGCTTAAATATCCCTCCAAAACCTAAACTGAAGTTATCTTGTTTTTCTGTAAAATAAGCAGTCATTTGTGACCCTATCAGGGTACAGAAGTCTGCCCAGCCTCAAAAAGGAAGCATCTGGCAGAGACAGCTATCTAGAACCCAGATCTTGCAAGTGCTAGCTTAATGCCCTAGGCAAAAGATCAGGATTTTATTTCATTGGAATATTATTACAACTGTCTTAGCATGTGTTCTATTAAATATACACTCAGGAAGTAGCATATCTGTAAAAGTCCCATAGTAAGAAGTCACCTACTCTCAGTTGAAATACATTTGAGGTTTATTAGGTTTTTTTTTTTTCAGAGCTCTTATTGTGCTGAGTTTCCCAAGATCTTAAATTGCTGCCTGATGAGTACTGAATAGCCTCTCACAATTGGTTTGTGAAATGTACATAATGGTGACAAAATGTTTACTTATGCACACTCCCAACTTCCTGCTTATGTTCACTAAGTGCAGTTGATTAGTGGAACGGCTGCAAAGATTCACCTTGTTTTAAGTAATGTAATTTGGTAAAAAGAAACAGCAGCAGTGAAGATTATGCCCTGGAGTTATTAAAATTGTCTTTCATATGGAGGGTGTGATACTACCGTATACCTGGTGGCTGGTTCTAATAACTC